TATTTATTCGTTTTCTTCTATGCCTCTTCCAACACTTATTGTCTTCTTTGCCTCTTCCCACATTTACCGATTGTCGTCTATGCTTCTTCCAATATTTATTCGTTGTCGGTCTTTCTGAACATGATTCTCCTTGCTTCTTTATCATCTACCTTTCGTTCGTTCTTTATTCTTAATTTATCTTCATTGCCTTCCATCCACACTTTTATCCCTCTTCTCCTGTCTCCTTTTATCACCATATCCATCACTTATTTTTCCACATAGTCTCTTTCTTTCTTATTTATATCTGTCTTTTTTATTTAATTTTCTCTATTAATTTTACATAACTGTAAAATCATATCATTATTATATTACATTACGTTCTGTCATCATATCAGATTATATCCTCATATAGTACTGTCATATAATATTTATTATGTCATCTGTCATATCTCTCTTCGTTTTACACACACACACACACACACACACACACACACACACACACACACACACACACCACACACTCACACTCACACTCACACACACACACACACACACACACACACACACACACACACACACACACACACACACACACACACACCACACCACACACACACACACTCACACACACACACACACACACACACACACACACACACACACACACATATATATATGTATATATATATATATTGATTCTCTTCCATTTTGTGAACCCTCATGTCTACCCAGATATCCGCATTTCTGTCCTGTCAAATTTATCATCTGTTTTCTTTATTCTTATTTACGTGTAACTATGTTTCCGTTTCGTACATGAATCTTGTTTCTACAATGTAAGAATTTTGTATTTTATTCTATGTTTACAGTGTAGTCACAGAGCACTGTCATCTCTCTCTCTCTCTCTCTCTCTCTGTCTCTGTCTCTCTCTCTCTCTCTATCTATCTATCATTCTCTCTCTCTGTCTATCTGCCTGTCTGCCTTTGTCTGTCTGTCTGTCTGTCTGTCTGTCTGTCTGTCTCTCTCTCTCTCTCTCTTCTCTCTCTCTCTCTCTCTCTCTCTCTTTATTCTTTTTTTTCTATTACGATTTCTCTATCTCCCCTACCTTCTCACTTCTTTCTCCCCCCACTCTCACAATCTGTCTGTCTATCTGTCTGTTTGTCTTTATCTCTCTCTCTCTCTTTCAGATGAGAGGTGAAGAAGAAGATGATGATAATTAATACAGAGAAAAAGAAGCGAAAGGAGAAAGAGAAGAAGACGAAGGAAAATAAAAAAATGATAATGATAATAATAAAATGAAGATGTTGATATTAAAGATAAAGAAAAAGAAGAGAAAGGAGAAGAAGAAGAGAAAGAAGAAAGAGAAGAAGAAGAGAAAGAAGGAGTTGTAACTGAAAAAATAAGAATCAATTAAAAAGAAGAGAGAGGAGATTATGATGAATATGAAGAAGAAAATGAAAAGGAAGAAATATAGAATGTGATCTTTATCTTCCTTGATCTTCTGTTCCTTTCTTTATCCACATTCTTCTTATTCTTGTTTTATGTTATTTTCTATCTTTATTTACCTTTAACTTTCTCTCTTCCCCTCTTTCGCTTATATCTTATTTTAGTCTACTGTTTCATTAATTATAAATTTTTATTGTGTCTTCCTACCTCCTCATTTACTTTTCTTTCCACCTTCCTTTCTTTTCTCTTCCTCTCTTTTACTCTTTCATTTCAATCTCCCCTCGTCATTTTCTTCCCTTCCTTGCCTTTTCCCCTCAATTATTGCTGTACCTTCTGTGTCCCTTTCTTCGTCAATTTCCCCTCTCTCGCTCCCCTCTTCCACCCTTAATTATCTCCCTCTCCCTCTATCTTTCGTTTCCCTTCCTCCTTCTCTTTGTCTCTTGTTCATTTTTTTCTTATCTTTATTATCTTTTCTCTGTCTCTGTTTCATCGTTCGTTACCCTATCTATCTTTTTGTTCAAAATCCCCTTTCTCCTTTTTTCCCCTCTTTCTTTTTTCTATATTTTCTTCCCCCATTCTGTCTTTCTCTTAATCCGTCTTTCCTTTACTCTCTGTCCTTTCTCCATCTCTTCCCCTTTCTCCCTCCCTCTCTCTCTCCATCACCCTCCTCCCTCTCTCCATCATCCTCCTCCCTCCTCCCTCCCTCTCTTCACCTTCTCTCTTCCTTCTTCCGTTCTTCCCTCTCCCTCATTTCTCCTATCCTTCTCCCTCCTCCCCTCTTTTCCTCTCCCTTTCCTCCCTCTCTCATCTTCTATCCTCCTTCTTCCGTTCTTCCTCTCTCCCTTCTCGCCCCTCCTTTCCCCTCTCTCCTCCCCCTCCTTCTCCCCTCTCTCAGTTCTCGCCCCTCCTTCTCCCCTCTCTCAGTTCTCCATCTTCCCTCTCCCCTTTTCTGCTCCCTCGCCCCTCCTTCTCCCTCTCTTCGTTCTCCATCTTCCCTCTCCCCTCTTTCCACGAACCTCTTCTTCCATTTTCAAAATCTGTTGCTTTCCAAACAATTACACAACCGGGTTTTCTCCCC